CTATGGTGACCCAAGGTAAATGAACCAGTTTGAGCCTTAGCTTCATCATCTATCAAATAATAATATAGTACATCTTGCAGTAGAATTCTAAGAATTAGGACTAATAATGTTAAGTGCACAGCACGACACCATCACACAATATCCCCTGAAGAATAGCGATTGTTATCAGTTTTTAATAATCTTGTGATACATGAAATGTTATCCCCATTTCATCAATGTATATCTTCATCTTATGCCAACCATATTCAGAGAGGTTAAATAACTTGCTCAGAGTCAAGAGTCAAGATGAAACTCTGAGTCCAAAAATTCAGGTTTTATCCATTTGGGAGCATTACAAGGGAATTAGATGTTGAATAGCATCTTAGTAGGGTCAATAAGTGGTATCTCAGGTGCAAGGCCCTTTGAGGTAAGACTTAAAAACAGTATGACATGGTCCCAAGACTTCCCTGAAAATCAATGACCATGGCTGAACAAGGTTGGGGACACTGACAGGCCTTACCTACAACTACTATAACTCAGGCAGGACCAAGTGGATAGGGCTGGCACTAGAGAGAAAATTATAGTGTCCAAATCATTAGATGTGGTCCAGATGGAAATAAAGAGCAAGAACCATAAAAATAAACAAACAAAAAGACCCCAAAAAAGAAAAATCCAAGCCTTTGGATGGACCAACATGGGGATAGGAAAGAGAAGAGGAGGAAAGCAAGCATGCCCAGCTCTGAGATGCTCCCAGAGCATGGTGATAGATCTCTTGGAAGAAAAGCTATTAGAGGAGCAAGACAAATGCCAGCAGTCACGACCAGGTCAATTGTTTGCTTGAGGGTTTTAATTCCAAGCCCCATCAAACAGAGGGATTAAGACTCTGGGAAGATTTTCTGATTTAAGCCAAGGATGCTTCAGGAGTAGGCTGGAGATTGAGTCTACCTCAGAAAATGTTACTAAGCACAGTCAGAGGTGTTATAAAAAATAAGAATAGGGGGAACCAGCAGTTAGCGTAATGGCTATGTCGCTGGACTCCCACGTAGTCGACCGCGGTTCGTGTCCCGGACCCGGTGGCTTAAAACTCACGCCGGGCACTTGTGCATATGTGCCCAAGATCCCGAGAGGAGAATGCAGGAGAAGGGATTGCGGCGTGACCATCCCCCCTGGGGGGTGATTTTTCGCTTTCTGTCTCTATGTCTCTCTCTGTCTGTCTGGCGAGCGCACGCGCCCTATAGTGAAAATCTCTCCAAAAAAATAAATAAATAAAAATAAGAATAGGAAAATGAGGCCTAAATTGGTGCTCTACTTATTCAGCTAAGGCCAAGATACTTATAATTGGATTTTCAAAAGAGGCCTGAATACTGCAGTCACCACTAATATAGTACTGTACAGACAGATGATCTTTAGGAAGACCTTTTGGCCTAAGATTACACACAAATAAATCTGCTTTAGGTCCATTCCTTGCACCACAACATACTGAACTGCAGAATTTAAGAAAGAAATGTAAAACAGTTAACGTTAAGAGTTTAAAGGCTGGGGGACCAGCAGTTAGCGTAATGGCTATGTTGCTGAACTCCCATGTAGTCGACCGCGGTTTGTGTTCCGGACCCGGTGGCTTTAAACTCATGGGCACGTGTGCGTACATGCCCAAGATCCAGAGAGGAGAATGAGGAGAAGGGATTGCAGTGTGGTCATCCCCCCTGGGGAGTGATTTCTTGCTTTCTGTCTCTCTGTCTCTCTCTCTGGCGAGCACACGTGCCCTATAGCAAAAACCTCTCTAAAAAAAAAGAGTTTAAAAGCTAGGTATAGAGTTCTCAAGCATAGAAATCTGTCTTGTAGATTGAGCATTTCAATATGAGAATTGGAGCAGAAAATCTGTTAGATTGGGAACAGGGAAAATTCTGCAATGACCTATTGTGGCAACTCCAAGGTAGTCAACTGCTTTTAGCATATGTAAAGGCTCTAAGGACAGAGCAGCTACACAGGGTAAGGGGGTAGATAAACCAGGGGAAGCAAGATCACACATCTGTGCATGCTAGAGAAGGGCACCAGGGAGCAAGAGTGGAACCAAGTGATTTTCAACAGTGTTTACTTAGAAACACTAGGTAGAAAAATTCAAGGTTATTTATAAGTATTACAGGACCTTTGGTAACAAGAGTGTTTTCCATCCATGTCATTGTTCCCACACACTTTCTTACCTACCACCCTGTTGCCCATGATAGATGATGTTTATCCAAGCCTTTTGATATACAACCCAGTTACAGTGGCCCTCTTAACATTATCCCTGATTTTTAAAGTGAGAGGCCCTCCAAACTGGTTTCTAGATCTTTTTGACATGATCCAGTCATTCTGTGATCTTTTTTGTTTGTTTCTGGAACAAACAACAGAAAATTTCTTTTAGATCCACATATTCCCTATCTCAATTCTAGAGTCAACCATTTTTCCAAAAGGTCCCATTTTATTTTAGTGGAGAAGTATTAAAAAGTCATGATTTGGAGTGGAGCCAGCAGGTGACATGGTCTTTGAGGCCACGAACTCCTACATGGACAACCATGGTTAAGTCCCAGACCCAGACTCTAGAGAGTCACTCCACACCAGGCACATGTGCATGCATATCTATGGTCCTGAGAGAGAAAATTGAGGAGATGGAATTCTACCATGGTTATCCCTGACCTTCCCAGGAGTGATTTTTCACTTTCCCTCACATGGCCTGTGCAAAAAAAAAAAAAAAAAGTCATGATTTGGACACTAGGTCTGTTCATATCACTTCCAAACTATCACAGTGGACAGAGCTAGGAAAGTTACATGTTTGTATGTATACTACAGTTTACATCCATACTTATTTATCATATGTGTCTGTATGTGTTGGAAACTTCAAGGTTCATTCCAGTCATTTCTATATTAACTCCCTTCTGACACCTGGACCACCTGATCCAGTTATACTTGCTCAGCCCACTGTGTGCAGCCGTTACCTCATCTTCAGCCCTGTACAGACAGCCTTCTTACTTTACCTAGACTCTGACCACTAGGCCCTGCCAGGCTGTCCCCCTACAGACTGTGTAGAAGCCCCGTTCTCCCATCACTAACTCAAATACCCGTGGTATAGCAATATCCTCAAGTACAAACAGCAAAAACACTTCTATAGTTTGAGTATCTATGGTCTACATTTTGTTTTCAGTGTTTTACAAAAGCTTTATTTTAGTTTTATGTTTATTTTATAATAAAGAATAATCTTCACTGTGATGTATGTTCAATTACATTTATTTAGTTAGATAAAAAACAAGCTCTAGGCCACACTCTGCTTGCGGCCAAAGCTAGCATAAAAACCGTCTATTCTCTCTCTCCTCTCTCTCTCTCTCTCTCTGTATATATATATATATATATATATATATATATATATATATAGCTAGTATATAGAAAGTTAAGAATGTTTTTTACATTTTTTAAAGGGTTATAAAAAATATGTGACAGAGACCATATGTGACTTGGAAAAAAGTAATTATTTACTATCTGGTCCTTTACAGAAAAAGTTTGCCAACTCTGATCTGGGGTATCTGACTACTTTGCCGATTTTGGGAACTTATCTATCAGGAGGTAGTGACATAGAATGAAGTAAGTTTCTGAGCTTCTTTAAGCCTCAAAGACTCAAGTAACTATTGAAATTGCCATTGTATCAGAACAAAGATAATGAATAACTTGCAAAATCATCGGTGAGAAGAGGATAGTGCTAATGATAAAATCTAAGTCACCCTACTCCTTACCTTAGATTAAACATGCCAAGCTCCATTTCTTTCTGATTTGCATGGCCATTAGCAGAAGCCTGGCCTCCAATACTATTTATTTCAATCAACATCTTCTATGTAAACTCCTAATGCTTGATTATATGAGTTTGTACAGCTACAGAATTAATTGAGTATAACTCTAATTCAAATTCAACATTAAGTCCATTTTGAACTAAAATATAATTGATTATAAAAATTGGATAACTCTGAAGTGGAATTCTTCAAGAGAACAGGGTTGTGTGCCAAATATTAAGAGAGTTTAGACCAGCCTGTGACATTGTGGTTAAGGAGGCTGTGTCTCACATTGCCCATTGTGAGGCTCAGGTCCCAGAGCTGGCAGCTTGCTTGCCCAAAATCCTGAAAGGAGGGAGAGAGAGAGGAGAGGTGATTATGGCTTGGCCATTCCCCATGTGGAGTGCTTTCTCACTTTGTCTCTCTTTCTTTTATTTATTAAATTTTCATTTCATTTTCTTTTATACATTCAATCACATTATTATTTGTCTTACAAAATGGATATTTCAACAGCTGAACATTTCTTCCTAGTACAGTTGATAAAACAACAAAATATCTTCAACAGCTACCACATTCTCTTTCTGGTTAGCTCACTTACCCTCTAGAAGAAAAAAAAAAAAAGTGCGACATCTAAATTGCCACCTTTGGACTAATAATATTGATAGTATCCACTTATTAATGAACCTTGCTGTGGTTTACTGCTTTGTACTAGAAACTCATAGGCATGGATTCTTACAAGCAAAATTACAGTTTCTAAAGATAAGGAAATCTCATTTATGTTAAAATGAGAAAAAATGGGATGTATAGAAACAGTTTCAAAACTCTGCTAACAAAGCTTTGCCTGACACAATTTCCTCTCTTCTTCAATATAAGTGAAAAAAAAAGAAAACAAACAAACAAACAAACAAAAAACAAGTTCAGCAATTTTTAGCAAAGAAAATCCAGCAATTTTGTATTCTGCATATTGTGATGCTGTGATTTCCATGCAATCAAAATAAAAAATTATATTTTAAGAAAAGTTTTAAATAGCTGCAGTCTATTTCCTTTATTTTCCTTTCTCAACCAAGCTATGTCCCAGACTATTGGAGGCATAAGAAGAAAAGGTAATAGAAGAGGGAAAAGAAACAACAAAAAATAAATAATTTTCGTAGAGTCAAGAATTCATATTCCACTATTACTTTATATTCTCGCTTAACAGCTTGGGCTGAAAAGTGAGTTCCGGTGCAATGCTCATACTAATTGTTGTGAATAATTCAGGTTTTATCACTCCCCAGGGCCTCGCTGGAGACTGGCTGCTAGAAGCCATTTTTGATACTTCAGAACCCATAACATGATCATTCTCGGTGCCGTTGCACACTGTACAGTGAGCCGAAGTTGCTTGATTTGGTAGCCAGCAAAGCTAGAACAGAGGAGAAATTAAAGAGCATTAGCCAGTGCAAGAAACCAACTGGTGTTTAGTGTGGTCTACACACATGAAGATCAGAATCTTACTGGATTGACAGATCATTGCTGTACATCCTTATCCATGAACAAGGTTAGACAAATCTCTGATTGTGAATTTTGTTTTCTTTGACTTAAGAGAGGAATTCTGAAGCTGCTGATGACTTATAGGTCCTGCAGAGAATAAAGGAAGAAAATTAGTAAAAATTTTTAAAATAAAATAAAATAAAATTCCTCACTCAACTGCCTTGTCTGCGTAATAATGTTGAGCATGACTGTCACTCTGAAGACATATTAGCTCATTTAGGTAATTAGTGTGAGCAGCATGTTTCCCTACTTACTCCATTCAATTATAGGGTTCTCACTTTGTCATTACTGGAGTGTCTTAATGTGACTTGTAATTAGTGTAATTACAATCCAATGTTAATTATATCTGCCACTTAGACATAATTTTATATAGTAATGGTCTCTAATCTCAATAACCTTATTATGTTGTTTATTCAAACAGGAATTAAGTCTTCTTTCATGCGTCAAATATGGAGATTACAAAAAAGTACCGCTTGTGTCATTTTGATAGTTATGACAAGGGAATTTCTGAAATAGCAAAATCATATTTGAGACAATGTCTGCATGTGCAAACAATTACAGCAGTTCCTCCCTGTTTCCAGAAATAAGCATATGTATCTCCAAATAACTATGTTCTGAGGCAGTTTGGGCCTTGACTTGCTTGTGAATTCTGGGAAGAACTAATGTGTGCTCATCTAGAAGCCTATTACTGTGGTTCATTTTATTAGAATACCAAGTACACTCCTTGTTGACCATTTAATGCACCAGTGCTCTGAGTAACTAACCATTGTATACAATGTAATGATATCACCTCACGTTTGAAGAGCACATTCTCTTTTAAAGTGCTTTAAATATATTGTTTCAGTTAATCCTGAAAACCACTTCATGGAATTAGTTGATTGCAGGTATCAAATAACTGGAATAGACTGAAAAAAAATATAAAAGGACACTCGTCATGTTCATTTAGCACAGAGAGCTGCTGATAAAAGGCAATTTAGCAGAGCCGCTCATAGACTGAGCGCCATAGTTAGGGTTTGAATCCCAGCTCTTCTGCTTAGTTCTGTGCCCTTGAGTGAATTGCTTAACCCCTTTATCCCTCAGTATCCTCATCTGTAACAGGAATAACAACAGTACCTACTCTATAAAGTGATTACAAGGATTAAATGGACTACCAAGAAAAAGTCTAAAACAATTCTTAACACAAAGTAAAAACTAAATATTGACTGTTCTTATTGTTTTTTCAATAGTACACTCATCTCTTGATTTGTGATTCTTTGGTATTTTTCCCCATAAACCACATTTCTTTCTTATAGATTTACTTATGCTAGCTACTAATTAAAGTTTTAGTATATACACTGCATGTTTGTGTACACATAGTATATTCTTTTAGCAATAGATAACCCTGACTAACGACTATCCAATAAAGCTAAACAAGAAGATTCCTTTAGCCAACTCAGCTGTTACAAAAATGAAATCTTGTGCAATTCTTTGGAAAAAGATTCAATAATCATTGCTAGATATAAGAACTAACACTCACTTCCTGATATACTCAAATTGTATTTCTTATTACTCTAGTTTTTCATGAATCCTCAAAAACTTAACATTGCCAAATACAATAGCACAAGAAAAGTGCTCTTTGTAATGAGATCTACAAAAATAATGGTTATTATTTATCTAATGGGTCTCAGTATCTGTATTTTTAACAGAAATATTGTTAGAATGTTATAATTTACAAGGCTTTTCTATTGAGCCTTCTCATTTCCAGTTTTTTCCCCTAAATTTCAAAAAACAAATAAGTTGAACATTAAGTTTTGAAATAACTTAGCCTCTTCTAACTGATGATATCTTCTCTGCTAAAACTGATAAGAATGGCAGTCCTTTGGTTTGGTCAGTAATAAATAAGAAGATGGTTTTTGCTGCTAACTTCTCTAGCCTAACAAGAACATCAACAACAAGCCATGTTCTGGCTATGCTCTTATAGACTACTGTCTCGTATTTCCAGGTAAGGGAAATATTAGCTCTTTTTTTTTTTTGGAGAGGTTTTTGCATACACTGGCCAGAAAGACAGAGAGATAGAGAGACAGAAAGCAAGAAATCACCCCCCATGGGGATGGCCATGCCACAATCCCTTCTCCCCCATTCTCCTCTTGGGATCTTGGGCACACACGCACCCGTGCTCGGTGTGAGTTTAAGCCAGAGGGTCCAGTACTTGAACCGTGGTTGACTACATGGGAGTCCAGCAACATATACATTATGCCAACTGCTGGTCCCAAGGGAAATATTAGCTCTTAACATGTGCTCCAAGCTGAGAGAAAGCATGGGCTCTGGAAAGTTACAGCAATATAAACACAACTGGTTGGGAAATCTTTGGAATGTGCACTGCTGCCAGAGATCTAGTCGTTAAATATTAACTAGCAGCTCTTCTGAGTTTTTGTTTTATTAATAATTATTTGCATTCAGAATTGCAGTAATTTTGCTGAACACATAAGAAATACTGAAAGATGTCAATTCCTTCATCTTGGTTTTTCTAAGAACTGCAAGGATGCAGGTTTGGACATCCAGCTTCAGTTAAATGTATTATGAACCCTCACTCTCAGACCAAGGCTTCACAATGAGCATCAGGTTTTAATGTTCTCATGTGCACAAGGACTGCAGCTCCTTCAAGTTGCATTTGGGTAAAGAACTCACAGCCTGTCAGTCCTCCTAGCCAAGCTTCAAAGTAGTTGATGATTATCCCCAGGCTTTCTTTCAGTCTCCTCCATTACTGCCAGGAAGTACTGTCTGAGGCATTATTAGTGTGTGGCTAAAGAAATAGAGATAGAATTTTCATCAAGAAAGTGAACATAGGTGATAGGAAGCCATGGTAAGAAATGTCCTTGGGGGACCAGCAGTTGGTGTAATGGCTATATCACTGGACTCTCATATAGCTGACTGCGGTTTGAGTCCCAAACCCAGTGGCTTAAATTCACGCCAGGAACATGTGTGTGCCCAATCCTGAGAGGAGAATGGAGGAGAAGGGATTATGGCCAAGGTTTGAGTCCCAAACCCAGTGGCTTAAATTCACGCCAGGAACATGTGTGTGCCCAATCCTGAGAGGAGAATGCAGGAGAAGGGATTGTGGCTTGGCCATCCTCCCCCACCCCCCGAGGGATTTCTCGCTTTCTGTCTCTCTGTCTCTCTTTGTCTTTCTGGCGAGTGCAAGTGCACTATAGCAAAACCTCTCCAAAAACAAAACCTCTCCCCCCTCCAAAAAAAAAAAAAAAAGAAAGAAAAGAAATGTCCTTGGTCAGAAGCTGGTAACATATCCCATTTTGGTCTTGAAAATTGGCTTCGTAGGTAACAGTGAACCAATCATTTGACCACCTGCATTTTTCTTTCCTCATCTGAAATTTTCTCTCTATTCAATCATTCAATCATTCAAATATTCTATGAGGAAAATAATCAAAGTTAAATTATATTCAGTGAAGACTTTATGTTCACAGAAATAATTATAAATTACTACAATGATGATGACTTCATGGGTGAGGGAGTTGTCTGAGAAGCTAAAACAATGTTTATCTAAAATGAGGCCAAGAGTTTGAAATTTTTATATAAGTAAACATATTATCAACAGGTATAGGAACATTATGTAGAGACCTGTAATCATACACTACTGGGTTCATAGCCAGGCTCCCAGCTGTATGGTCTTGCACTAGCTACTTAAATTCATCAAAATATAGTCTATCTCTAAAATGGTGACAATAGCATCTTGTGAAGACTATTGTAAGGATTATATGAGATAATTAAATGAAATGTACTTAGCACATTCTGGACTCAGAAATGGAAGCTGTTATTATTAGAGCATGCTATGATGAAGAGTATCAATGATTTCATATAGATGAGGTGTCTAAAAGAAGCAACTTGTTAGAGAAAAAAAGTAAATTAGTGTTTGTCTAGAAGGGGAGAATGGGGAGTTACAACTAAATGATACCAAGTTTCTTTCTAAGGTTATAAAAATGCTCTAAAATTGATTGTGGTTATGGTTATACAATTGTATAAACTGTACACATTTAATGAGTAAATTGTGTGGTATGTGAATTATACCTCAATAATGCTGTTATAAACAAGCAAATAGCCAAAAGACATCACAAACACTCTTGAATATAAGCTTGAAACATCAGAAAATGTAATAGTCCACACTAAGTGAAATTCAAGAACTGGCATGCAAGATGTTGGGGGAAGGGATTCAAAGGCTCAGGGAAGAAGCATGCTGGAATGGACATATATTATGGTCACTGGAAAAGTCGTGACACATTTTTGCATAGAAAATACATCATGACTTCAACCACCCAATATAAAGCTGACACCAGCCAGCTGGATTTATTCAATGGGAGAGCTTATAGGAATCTCTTGTATCAAAGTGATACAAAATGCATTTTTAGGAAGGATTTGGCATTTTGAGAAGCATAGTGATGACTGTTTTTAACCAATACTGACTATACAAGAAATTATCACAAAATGATGTTAGAGAGGTGAAAAGATAAAGAAGTAGTAAAGTAAATGTGGCAGTTCCTATCACTCAGAAGCAAGGTAGTCACAATTATATGAACAGCAAGATTGGACTGCTGCCAGGGATGGAGCCTGCAAAGAGCTACAGAAATCGTTGTTAGAATGCAGCATCTCTACAGTCTAGATAGTTAGGCAGCTACTCAGTGTGTCCATAAAGGATGTATAAACAGGAGATTGAAGGCAGTCACACCAGTAAAGTCATGATTTTTTTTTGCCCAGCTTCCAGAAATGAACCATTATGTATACTAGCTATTATGAATATGTTGCTATAAACATTCATGTATAGACTGTTATATGGACATATCTTTTAAACTCAGAACCTATGGATTAGAAAGCATATTCCCAGTGTGGCTGGCAGGTGGCATGGTGGTTAAAGATGCTGGACTCCCACATGGCTGACCACAGTTCAAGTCTTGGACCTGGCAACTTGCTTTCTAACATTGTCTCTCTCATCTCTCTCTCTTTCTCTCTCTCTCTGTCTTTCTCTGGCGAAATTAAAATAAATAATAATAATAAATAAAGTTAAATTAAAATATTCTTAGGAAAATAAAAGCATGTCCCCAGTAAAAGAACCACAGCAAGTACTTAGGGTAACAAGTCCATGCACAAAAAAGACCTGTGGACATCTACTAAGATAACTGTCACTTGGAACAGACAAATGTCACATATCTTACTATGAAAAAAAAAAAAAAAAAGAGTACACTTGGCAGATTTCTTTGGGTTCAGTTTGAATGACATGATATTCCATACTAAAGAATACTGTTCAAATATCATGTGACATAACAGGCTTTATGTTGGGCCTAGATAGGAAATGTTTCTGTGGCAGTTTTAAACTAGGGTGCAAGCAGACTTGCCACCTCAGCCACACTCCTTAATAGACCATAGATATTAAAGGGATCTGAGGTAGGAAAAGATGCCACATGCAGCTTGATGCAAACTCAAGGGAAGAATCACAAGATAGACAGGTAGCCTTCAAGTCATGTCATATGAGAGTGGAGTTCTCTATTCTGCATATATGGACATTCAGTAAGCATCTCCTAGCATGTTATTGCAGCCTGGTTAGAGACAGAAGGCCTGACAATGGAGTACCACATGGCCATGCAGCCAGCACTGTGCATCATAAGCAAGTCTGTCAGACCTATTTAGTTATAAAGTTGAGATGACCTGACAACAATTCATTGTGAGATGGGAAGTGACCACCCTGTACATATTGTTCTCAAGTACATTACCAAAGCCCATCATATAAATCTCTGCGTTGAATGGTCTATTTCTCAGGGACTAGTATCAGGGGTGGTCTAGGGAAATGGAAAAAAATAATAATATATTTTGGAGGTGGAGCACCTAGTCA